GGCAATTTAGGTTCTTGGGATGTAGTATATCGACGTCGTATCTGATTTTTATGTCTTATCCACCATTCATCCCCAACTTTAACCTTGTACATTAGAGTTCCATGTCGACATTCTATCAAACCTTCGGCCCATTTTCTGTTCCTCGGTCGATAATCGCGCACATAGACGGCATCACCCTTGCGGTAATACTTCAGACTATTTCTTCGTTGATGTGACGAAGATGGTAACATGGAGTGGTGATGAGTTCGTAGCATTCGACCCATTAGAAGTTCTGCAGGGCTTTTCTTCTGTTCTGCCAGTGGAGTAGTTCGGTATACAAAAAGAAAGTTTTGTATTGCTTCCGGTTTCGCCCCTCCCCCTGCTTTCAACAACGCTCGTTTGAAAGTGTCGACAAATCTTTCTGCCTGACCGTTGGATTGAGGGTGATAAGGTGGCGTCCGCACGTGTTGTATACCGTTTCTCTTGCAAAATTCCTGGAACGCTTGTGAGGTGAACTGACTGCCATTGTCAGATACGATGATTTCTGGTATACCGTGACATGCGAAGATCTTTTCCAGGACTGATACTGTTATGCTGCTAGAAGGTGGTGTCACTTGTACTACCTCCGGCCATTTTGAGTAAGAGTCCACGAGAACCAAGTAGTATATACCTTCTATCGGCCCAGCAAAATCCACATGTAGGCGGGACCATGGTTTTGACGTGGGCCATGCTCTCGGTGGCTCCCGCGGCGGATCTTTGGCTGCCATGACAGACATCACTTTCAGCTTTTGAGCAGAGCCTCTCTTACTGGAGCTAACAGTTTCTACTTTGTTGTTACCAGACATCGAAGCACTTTTGGCGCAGCCATACTCACCATGACGAGTCGAAGTTGGTTTTTCATTAATCACGTCATTGTTTCTAATGGGCTTAGGTTTAATATATCTGTCTCTGATTTCTGGTTTTCTTGTTGAGGGTTCAATACTTTCGACCTTATTGCATACACTGCTTAACGGAATCTCTGACAGATGCAACTTCTCGAACCAGTCTAAACCCAAGAGGTCAAGGTTTGAATTATTGATGTAGCATGTGCCGATGAAATGACTATCGCGAAAACCAACGCTGCATTTAATTTTTCCATTCAATCGAAGTCTTCCACCACATGCACTAATTGCTATTTGATTTGTCTTCTCTATGGTAGGGCATCCCAACTTCTGCCATAATTTCTTTGATATGATTGTAATATCGGATGCTGTGTCGATTTGTAGGCGTGCCGGCCGTGTATTAATCGTCAGGTCGATATATTTGCGAGGTGCTGGAGTACTAATATGATATGTGGCAGTAACACCCAAAGACTTAGGCTTGTAGCGCCGTCTGGGTCGACTACGAGATCTGGGTAGGTTGTTGCGTTTGCAGTAGCCATCTTTGTGACCAACAGTACGGCATCGATGGCATTTATGCTGTTTGAATGGGCACAAGTTTACAAAATGCCAGGAGCCACAGTCCCAGCAGGCTGATGGTGGTTTATGCTGAGGATGACGCGGTTGATGTCGACAGTACTGGATGCACCGCATGCACTTCTGCTGCATTTTGGCTGCCAGACTGCACCAAGACGGTATCGTTATGAATGTTGATTAAACGCTGATATTCTTCACCGACGTCTTTCAAAGTCATTCGTGGATCTTGTTCCAGACGATTTAATAGGCGTGTGCGTATATCAGCAAATTTGGGAGACTGCAAACTACAAATGAAAATCGGTACCTTGAACTGGTCTTCTGAGAGCGATTTCAATTTAAAACGTTCACACGTGCGATTGACTATACCCAACTGAGTATGGATATCATCATTTTCGTTCAAAACTAGTTTCATGCAATGATATCGAATGTTGAATAATGATCTCTGATCACCAAACTGATGACGAAGGGTATGGACAGCTTCATCGAATGATCTTTCACCGGGCTTCTGTGGCAGAATTAAGTTGCAGTATTTATCTAGCTCATCTGCTCCCAATTTACGAAGTAGAAGCCGTACTTTCCAGGCATCATCTTTATCCGCAAAGTCTACTCGAAATAGGTCTTCATATCTGCGAAACCAGGTATCAAATGTTACGTTCGCATCTGGATCATAAACGAATTCTGAGATGCTACTACCAATGCTGTCGTTGGCTGTAGATGAATCAGCAGAGCGTGATATTTGTAGACCAGCAAGCATTTCCATCAATTTTAGCTGCTGTTCCATTAGTTTCTCTAAACGCAGTGAGTCCATCTTCAGCAAACCCGTCGCCAAATTTGTTATGTATGTGAATATGAGGACCTTGTAGACTACGAGCGAATCTAATTTAATGCGCTGGCCAATCTGTCCCAATCGCACGTCAACAACAACAACAACAATACCGCCGGGCACGCGAGACAAAGAAAAGAGAAGACTGGACGTTGATACGAGAGCTTTTACTGTCTCTACAACAGTCGAAATGTTAAACAACAACTCCGTATTTATTCAGTTAGAAAAATCAATGTCACATTTTAAAAATATTAACAAACCCTGGGAATTCAGTAATTTAAATCAATAATCACGCAGATGCGTGAAATCAATGATTATGCTAGTGTGGGAAATAAATACTGAATATTAATGATTCACCTGTGTATATATTATATTTATCAATCCCTAGGCTATCATTGGAGATATTGCTTGTGCACCAGGCTTCAGTGATCACAATCAATGACGGTCTGCATATAGAAGCTAATGTACTTAGTGTTAAGTGTTTGCTTAGAACTGATCTAGTATTTACTAGGATAACAGATAAACACTGGTTATGTGGTTTCAGTGAGTGGACAACACCTTGACAAAATAATCCATGAGTATCCTCTATATGCATGTGATTACATTAGATCATTTCGTGTCGACACAGTGTCAGCTATCTCCCAGGAAATATGGCTTGCCTTAGCTGTAGACTGTTCGCTATGCCGGCAAGGAATTGGTCTGATATCATGCGTGGTACATGCATGATGCCAGGTGTTTCTGACAACTGGCGCTGGTGAAAATCCTGCCCGAAAGTATAACCGATATGAGTATTCGGTAATTTGTTGCCAGCACAAGAATGAAGTGTTTGTATATGTTCCGGGTAGTCATCAGACCATAGCAAGTGACACCTTCAAGAATCTTGAATAGCAAGGGCACGGGTAAAGAAGAAAAAAGAGGATAGTTGCGAAGCGGCATAGAGGGCAAGAAGTGGAGGCAAAAACCAAGTAATCTTTTTGCCTATGCACTATTATACTCCATTTCGCCCTAACTACCCACTCCTTTAATATGGCCAAAAATTGCCCTTTTATTCTTATTGCTCACTTAAAGTCTGGTCGCTCTGATGGAGACAAAGAACAGCAACAGCAATGATCGAAGAAAGCTATGTTTTCATCGAAGGCACCATAGCTTCCATGGAAATAAAATATAGTTGGCATTAAGCATTGCAAATGTATACTATCATTCCAAGGAGTCTCCACCTCCTTCTTGTATGTATATTGTAAATGTACTTTCAGTGATGTATTATCCATAATTGTATTTCATACCACTTTGCAGTTTCCCAGGACGTTCTCCTCCTCCTGGAATAGCTTTTAAGCACGTGGGAGCATAGCACTTACGCAAGTATAGTCTGTCCACTGGTTGACCATAACTACCAGCAGGCAGACGGACGAAGTTTGGGTTGACGCTCAACCTTGATGGTGACCTTAGTGAAGGGTCTACAATTTACACTGATACGAACCTGTTCCAATTGTCTGTACTATAATCCAACAATTTACGCTTTTGAAAAAGTGGTAATGTATGATACTTCAGGATTGTAACTTATAGCAGAACTGAGCGTGCCAGTAAAGATGGCATGCATTTCTCGTGAGCTTACATGTCAATGTCCAGGTCTAACTACACTGGATTAAGCGCTGTCCTTAGAAGACCTTCAGCGACTATGTCTATTAACCAAACCGGAAAAACAGAACACAGATTGGCAACTTGAACATCTTTAATTTTGTGTCAATATGTAACCAAAATTAAGGTTATTATATACAAAGTTTAAGAATAATGTCATAACAATTTATCACAATATTACTTCTGATAGTATTTCTCCGTCTTCTAACGAACAGCTGACGATGGAACGATGACTGTAGTATCGGTGACTCCCGCCAAAATATGGAGTTAGGTTTGGCTAAACAACCATGAATTGATCGTTCATTCTTCAGCTACATTGACATTACCCGTTTATACGAAATATAAACTATTATTATCAGCCCAGGTAAGCCTACGCAGAACGGTGGCCAACGTAAACGAGTCAGTGGTACTAGGCGGCTTTAAAAGTATCTATTTTCTGGGTTATGGGAAGGAATTTTCGGTCCTCGACAGACATCACAACACTCAAATAACAAGTAGTACGTATAGTTTTAATCTTGTGTTTCGGCTGTTTCGTCATCATTCATGGTTCCAGTATACCACTCAACATTAGTGTGAATTACAAATCAAGAGGAGCTTTCTATATTGGTGGCAGTCAAAGATCTAGAATTATTCCGAAACATCAGGAAGAGAGTTTTACGGAGTCGGAAAGCTCGTACAGGACTGTCTAGAAGACACAGGATACTTATCTGAATATTCGTAGACTCATGTCAGTAATCTTTTTAAGGTCTAAGCTCCAGCTTGGTATTCAGGCATGCTATAACCCCGGAGAAAAAGAATGATCCTCTAAGGCCATCTTTGATAGCTCAAGGAATATACCCTTGATGGAATATTATGCCAATAATACTCATTGTGGAAAGATAAATAAAAACGGTAACAGGAGTGTTTTTCGATTTGTGAAATGATGGGACATTCAGATGCACTTCACTAATAAATATCGTTTTTATATCAGCACTAGCAATCGATCTCAAGGAGATCATTTTAGTCTACAGTAGTCAAAGAAGGAGATATTGGATTGTAGGATCTATTTTTATAATATCCCACTGTCGCCTCATTGACAATTGTACATTCAAGGCGCTTCATATGGAAGTAATTCAGGCACCCTTTTTAACCCGCATAGTGTAACTCACTGAGTTTTTTACTAATGAGTACGGAAGAGAAAGAAATGGTAATACTTTTTGGCATTTTCATTTTATCTTAAGTGCCCCTTGTGTATGGAACCAATGGAAGCAGATGACCTTGCTTTTTATCCATGCGACTGTCGGTACCAGGCAAGTAAACGTAAAATATTTCGTTGTAATCGGAGTAGGTATGCCGCTTCTGTTGGGCTAAAATCATCAATGAAGAAAATGGCCTGTGTCCAGCATGTCGGAAGGTAGGATTCAACATAATGCCTAGCATCGTTTAGGAATATAATTCGGAGAAACCAGCTTCATATAAACCTATTTCAGAATCAGAGTAAGCTTTTTTCATTACGATAAACTGTTTTTTTTTTTAGAGAATCTCGATGTAGATCAAGCAGGAGACGTAAGGAATATATGAAGAAGACAAAATTAAACCCTGAGATGCTTAAAATATTACCGGAATTAAGGTATGTTAAACGTTGCGTAGAAAGGTCATTTGTTAGAGTTGTGCAGCCGAACCTTATATTTGTGGTCGGGTTGCCCACGTGGATTTCCAAAGACAAAGATATTTTGAAGGGTCAGGATTATTTTGGGCGCTATGGAAAAATATTCAAAGTTGAGGTTAACCAGAACCAAACTTTCGGTGGACCACAGGTGGGCTTTCATTAGTGTTTCTGTTGAACTTGCTGTGTCTTGGGCTTGCGTGCTTACTCTATATTTTCTGTTTGTACTCTTAGGGTCAACCCAGTTTCAGTGCATACATAACGTATTATCGAGCTGAAGATGCTATGCGCTCAATTAGAGATCTTAATCAAAGCACGTTACATGGAAGACCTATTCGTGTTTCTCTTGGTACGACGAAGTACTGTAGTCAGTTCCTAAGAGGCACTAAGTGTACCAAGCATGTAAGTCAAGGTTCCTTGTTAAAGTATTTTAAAGTTTAGTGTGTCAGCTGTTAAAATAGCTGTTTTCTATGCTGTATTAGATGAGATTTAAAACAGTCTCACTTTTAGGAGTGTAAAATTCGGTTTAGTATATTACCAGTTGGATGAGCTGACGTTACCACATTCCTAACTCCAAATTTCAATCATATATATATATATATATACATATATATGTTTATCAAATTTCTGGTTTGGAATATGTCTGTCTAATCCCTCCATGAAAGAGTCGATTGAAGACGCTCACAAATTCCGGTATTTGATTTCAAAAGTTTACATTTCTGTGCGGGGATCAGTATTCCATAACGATATAGTTCCTCCTTGGATTTTGAACTGCTGCTATGTCCTCTGGTATGACCCCAACCGATGAAAAGAAACAGTGACGTCAGGTTCACGCTCATTTTTAGTATTTCGAACACTAATTACATTACACTAATTACATTACATGATAAAAATACATAGAAACTGTTTAGTGTTTCCGTGCATGATAAATTACTCTTACTAGGAACCATGCATGTAACCTTCGTCTGAAATCTCTTCAGAATGAGTTCCCCTTAGGACAAGGGCTGGCTGCTGGATACATTTTTAGTTTGAACTTTACCAATGTGTATATATATATTTACTGGTGAACATTTCACTTGTGATCCTGCTAAAAACTGCCCATTGCTCATAAAGATCTGAAACTGCAAGCTGCCACCACTTTAGTATGCGTGGTTTTTAGGCCGTGATTTACCGCGACCAGTGTGCATCTGAACTGACAAGAATGGTATTGCCTCTATTATGCGCGCTGACACTTGCGTGCACAAAGCACATGGCTGCGCATTTCGCTATGTTGAATAGTGGCATCTATTTTTCGGGCCAGTCTAACATATTACTGGGATCTGTTTGCAACGTAAGCGTATCGCTGTCACTCTAAGGCCTTCCAAGTTTTTAGATCATCTGCGTAGAGAACCGTTTGACATTGGGTGAACCTAGGTAATTCATTGATTTACAAGATAAATAAGAAGGACCGAGTACATTACATACAGTACATAGTGTTGTCTCAGAAGAGAGTATTGAAGTGATCCTGACCGTCTCCTGCTTATGTTGAATTCCTTGACATGGTTTAGCAGACCACCTTTGATTCCAGGACTTTCCAATCTGTTAAAGTCTTGTATGGTACCTTGTCAAAAGTAACGTCGGTCAGTTCCTTGTCTCTATGCTCAGCTCAGCTTCATCTTGCTGTAAGAATCTTTCCGAGAGGTTTCTCTGGAAAACATGCTGTGTACTGGATAAGTTGTTTTGTTAATATACTCTGGCTTTCGTGATTATTTAAGGTGCTATTAAGACTAATAGATCTGTAGTTTGAAGGATATTGCCTGGATCGCCCCTCGTAGATGTGGGTTACTATTGTACTTTTCTAGTCATGTGGGAAACTCCCCATGAGGGAGCTTGGAAATCATAGTCAAGTAGTTTACCGTTTCTTCTTACCAATCCTCTTCGACTGCGTCGGTGTCAGCAATCAGGTTCGGGACACTGCTGGACGATTTATTTGTAGGGCTCATGTACTAAAGTAGTTTCTTGTTTTGTACCATTGCACTTTGAGCTGGACTTACTTCCAACGTCATCCTTGATTGACGAATTCCTGCAATAGCTTTATTTCTAACTGAACTGTACAACTTTTCGGTCTCTGAAGTCCCAAGCAGGATAGACATACTCCGGCACTTGTAGTTCATGAATCTCCTCATGTTATATAAGGGGGAGTGTTTTCAACCCTGTGTAGCTGACCATGAAATGAAGAGTTGGTTTACTGAAGCATGAAGTCGCTTGAATTGATTACATGCAGTTTCCCCATGAGATTGCGGACTTACGTCTCAATCCTGGGATGATTCTGCAGAAATGACAGCATTTATCATCAGTTTTCCATATGTTTGGTTCAGGTGGAGTTTTGGTCGAGGTTATCACTGCAGCTGTGAACACAGTTTGGTCACTTTTTTCTAGGAATGGAGGGGGTATTGCTTGAGGTCTACGTCCTACCGTGGAAGAAAGCCTTGTCTAAGTTTGAATAGGAATGCTGAGAATCATAATGCGTATGTGTCGTAATATGCTATACTAGAACCAATGAAACAGGAGATTTTATCAGTTGGTCGTCGAAGTTATTGTTTGAGGTGGGTGTTATACGATTTATCTAATGGACTGAAGGGTCGTTAACATCACCGACTTTAATGCCCAGAGACTTGGATGTGCTTGAACGTAATTTTCTCAGTTTTATATGGACCGCGATATGTAGCGATGGGGTTGATGTCTTGTCCTTTGTGTTATATTCTGTAGCGTAGAAATTTGCATGATCCATTTTCCTGTGCGAGAGTTTCTGTGCTACTCAAAACTAGGCACCTCCGTTACTATATAACTACTCCACTCCCTTTATGGTTCGCTTGATCCTGCAGAAAATCTGGAATTACCAGACTTCGAACTGTTACTACCCAAAAACCCATGATAACGAGGTTTTCCGCACAGTTGCTGCGTGATTCGTCCAACTCCAGTTAGCAGACCGCTCGACCGCTTGAGAGTATTATTGCTGAAGATTGCATTCTGTATTTAATGTGACTTTGAAAAGGTGTACTGATTGACTTAATGTGGAGTCAGCCTTTTCGCCCATTCTGTAGAAACTATAGATGGCTTATGCCTGCTAATGTTGCAGGGAAGACTAGGTTGTCTAAAATTGATTTGAGTTGACTAAGATCATGTTCGAACCTGGCCTCCAGGTCCCAAACTTCTTATTCTTTCATTTAATGGGAAATAATCTATCTGTCAGAGAGATTAAGTTTGCTGCAGTTGGCTATTTCGTTTTGAAGTGATAGTATCTCTCTCTATTTTTCAAGGCCGATACGTATTGCGCAGTGGTTTTGTCTCGCCTTTTGCCAGGTAACCCAAGCTGTTAAAAAGTCACGCCATCTACAAATAAGTAACTTATAAAGAACTAACTTTAACAATAACAACTTGAGTTAAGCTTTATCTGTAAGCTTTTATGGTGTATAACAACAAAGCAAAAATACGCTTTCGAAGTTCGCCAGGTTATATATATATATATATATATATATATATACATAATACTCTATCATTGCTGCATGTTTGTGCTCTGTTGAGATATCAAGTCGCTAGTGTGTTTTGAAGTAAAGCCGTTTCTTGTCTTAACCAGTAAATTTATGGATTTTTTAAATCTAACCCCTTTTAATTATTTTAACTGACTGGGGTAAGTCAACAACTCTGAGCACAAGAAATGGTTATGAGTGTACGAAAACTACTAGCAACTCTTCGTCGAGTCATGAAACTAATTTGAAAGTTTAGTAACACCTTATCGGATTCTGACAAAAAGGTAGTTCACACAAGCAATGTGGTGGTGGATAGCTTCTATACTCAACAAACATCAGTGACAATCGTGGTTTAGTTAGAGATCTAGCTTTAGACCCATCGAATGAAATCTAACTCCTGTGTTTGCTGACTAAAGGGATCATTTCTACAATCCTGTATGAATTCAATGAGCCAAAATTAGGGGTTAAATTCATTTCGTCTTTATTTCTCTTTTCACAGGTAAACAGGCGTCATCTGTTGATGTTAAGCGGTATCTTTTATCAATTATTGACATTAAATAATTTAATATATTCGTGTATTGCTTGTAAGACGATTAAACACTGCCATTGACAAACGTCGTCAAACAGATTCTTTTATAAAAAAAATATTTTATAGCTTAAACAAACAGATGTATAATTGTGCTTCACCTATTTATCAGCTGAATATGTCTTTGTTGTACATGGAACCACTTACATATTTGATTGTTGTTCATTCGTGTATATTCTATTGGTCAGTGATTTAAACGATGTGGTTGTGTGGTTTCTCAAAACAGTACTTTGCACAAAGTGTAACGTTAATTTTTTATTTCGTTCACGTTCCCTAGTGGAACATAGGGCTGCAAGCTAGTGGCTTGAAGTTTCTGTAGTAGCGTTTATTTTTACAGGATGGGGTTGCTAGCCTCATGCCCAACCTTTCCTCTTCACCAGCATTATTTCTAGTTTAGCGAGGTAAAGGAGTGTGTCGGCCGGGGATCGAACCCCGAACCATGTGCATGGTCGGCGAGCGTCCTAACCGCTGTCACCGACGCACAAAAAAGCCGGCAACATCCGGTATTCCCAGCCGGTCACCCATGCAAGTACTAACCGGGCCCAACGTTGCTTAACTTCGGTCATCGGACGAGAACCGGTGCTTTCAACGTGGTATGGTCGTCGATGATGACTGTACAGTGTTGTTGCATTTTTACATTGATATTTACGGGTTGCTTTTTTGGAAATTAGATGAATTTCACTTCAATGTTTCATTTGGAATTAATCAGTCACATTGACGCTTTGTTTTAAACTACTTTGATTATCGATGAATACCTTTTCTTGTCTTTGATTTCAAGGAGTGTATGTATTTGCATGAATTGGGCGATTCAGCTGCAAGTTTTACTAAGGAAGAAATGCAAGCTGGAAAGCATACTGAATATATGAATAAGCTGTTACAAGAATTTTGTCAATCTAAATCATCGTGTACTTTGGATTCACAAAAAGAGGAAACCACTATCTTAGGTCCAGTAGATTCTTCCGGGTCAAATACAAACGATGCTACTATATCCCATCCTGTTGAATCAAGCAGTCATTCAAATGGTCGAAGTCGGGTGAGATATGATGGTACTTCTTCCATGTCAAGTGAAAACTCAAATTTTCAAATGTTGGATAGATCTACGTCACAGTCAGAGCAGACATCTGATTCAGGAAGGAATGTATCGACTAGAGATACTCGTAAATTAAGACATACAGATAAAGACCATATGAGTGGAAATTCAGTTTCTGATGCTTCTGTCAATGATAAATCCAAATTAAGTTACGGGAATTCCAATAAGTCCAGCAACTGGAATCATTCATCATCTTCATCAGATTATTCATATAGGAAACCTGCGAAAAATTCGTTTGGAACTTTTCATTTTAAGAATACACCTGAAACAACAGACGCAGAGAAGTCTTACGGTGTAGGTGGTAAAAGTGTTAATGTACGACATAATCATTCCGTACAAAATCGAATTCCAGTGACTCAGTCCGCTCCATCTAATCAAGTATCCACTGCTGCAGAGCCAGTTTGCACAAATAGTAATAGTTGTCATCGTACCTGGTGTCGTCCGACTTCAGTGAATTCATCTAATATGCAACCACTATTAGGAGATGAACCTGCAGATATTGATTTTGATCCATTTCGTGAATCACAACAGGGTTTAGCTGAATTGTTAGCTGCTGAAGTTGCACGCCTTGAAGTATCTGATTCTCTATCCAATCATCGTGTATGTTATGCTAATGGATCTTCAGTGAATAAAACTCCTTACTGTTCAACTGGTGGTGGTGGTGATCCAGTGAAATCACAGTCTTCTCACATCGACACCAGAGTTCCTCAGACAACAGTAGGTTGCGATCCTTCTCAACCTACAGGAATACATCCATGGTATCCTAATTTAATGTCATACAACAGAAGTAACAATGATGCAGATAAAGTATCCAATGTGAGTTACAATAATTTTACTAGCCATTATCCACCTCCTGGTTTTGAGGAGGCTGTAAAAGCTTATGATCAGGCTTCTTCTAACAATCAGTTCTTGTCATCTTCTGCACCTGATCCTTTAAGTCCAGCCTATCCAGAGCCAAATTATTCATGCCCTGAAAATTTTGGATGTAACAATAACAATATACATAATACAACTGGTTCTTTACTACAATCTACTGCATTTTCAAGAAATCTACCTTCTACAGACTCTAGTAGTGGAAAATATACAGCAAACTCTATGTCTTTAGAGAATTGGCTCGAAGCTAAACGAATATCTGATCATATAAGTGCAATGTATCCAGATACCTTTTATTCACCAATTCCTCCACCTCTACCTAATGTTAACAACAACCAGGTAAAGGGTGAATCAATTCCACAGAACTCTAGTCAGTTTATGAACAACGTATTTACTGCTGTGTTCAATGCTCCCGGTGTAACAAGTAATGGTGCAACCAGTATGTATGATAAATCTGCAGCAAAATCTTCAGCATCTATGTTCGATCTTAGTCAACTAATTAATCAGCTTTATTGTCAATCCTCTAGTTATTCAGAAACAAATACACATCCTCCTAATGATTGGTCGGCTAGAGTCAGTATGCCTTTAGGATGTACACAGAATGAAGTTGTAGATTCATCTATGTGTTCTAGTTCAGCAGCGCCAAACCCGAATATTTTCATCCCTGGAAAATATGTATCTAGGACAGGTTCTTTCCCTAGTAATAATGAATATCAACAACATCAGAAGATGCTGTTTGGCATAGTAAGTATTGATACTTGAGTCTCTTTATTTTCATTGAGCTTCTTAAACTGCTTAAGTGTGTAACTCATACAATGTCAGAAGTCTCTAGACACATAAATTACTTTATGTTTTTTTCTTAGTATAATAATATTTCTTAGTACTTTACAGGTGTTTCTCTATTAACTGTATAATCATGTAGAACTCTACTTCCTATTTCGGGAGTGAGGACAAACACTCGTCGACGATATTGGCTAATGCCAGTCGGGCTAAAACCACGAATTGGTGGAGGTAGCAATTCATAGGCTATTGAGTCGGGTCCCAGTGGCTGAAATGGTCTCCGAGCTTGTCTTGTAACCGGAAGGTCCTGGGTTTGAAACCCGGTGGGTGCTTACTGTGACGAGTTCCAGGCTAAGACGAAACTGTTGTCTAGTACCCCCCTGTTGGTTTTTAATGCTTCTCTAACTGATACCAATCCGTGATCAAACTATTTCGGTAGTTTCCAGCCATTTTATTAATGTTTTTTTCTTCAGTAGATTAGTAGTGAAATACCTTTGTTCACTCTGAACATCCATGTGGAATTAAACAATTTTATAAAACTAGTTATTTCATCAAAGGTGCTTTTAAACCTTTTCCGTGGATTTTCATGAATTAAACAGTTGACATCGTATGACTAATCTCATACACTGCTGCCTAGGAAATATAATTTTGACAAGTTTTATGTTTTAGGTATGTCAGGGGCTTGTGAAAATGTGGTATATTGACTTAAACACTTGATTTTAAGTCTATGAGTCCCGGGTGTGAGTCCTGCTCCACTGACTTCAGCCTGGGCGACTGAGTAATGTCATTAGCCGCTACACGATAAACGTGGTTCTTAGTCCGATGCTGGGTAATTGAGTTCTATGAATGTAAATAAGTAATTTACCATGGGTTCCGACTGTCACTTCCACTTCCTGTGTAAGCCTCTTGCCTTTCCGATTCTAGCTGGTTTTGACATCTTCATTCCTTCCACCTGTGGTTGAAGCAATGCTTCCTAGATAAATGAAGGGATTAACCTCTTTCAAATTTCTCCCTTTGATATTGATTGGTGTTTGTTGTTGGTTGGTTGGTTATCTTCATCACCTCTACCAGTCTTTTGGTTTTCTCCTGTAAGTCTTCGAGTTTGTGTGGCAATAGACATAAAGCATCCGCGAAATCCAGATCTTGTAGAGTCTCCTTATCGGTCCAACGTATTTCTGTCTTCGCGCTCCCCATACACGGTCTGACGCATAATCCAGTCCACCATAATTAAGAATATCATCGGTTATACTAGGCAGCCAGCCTTGTCTCACTCCTGTCTTCACTTCGAAGGCTTTGCTTAGTTTTCCGTTGTGGATCACCTGACACGTTGACTGCAGTGTATGTTAATAGCTGACTAGATGTGAGCCTCGAGCTTAAGTTGTATGCCCCGGCCGACAACTGCTACCTTGCCGTGGTGGTCGGGCTTGAATACCGCAGTGACCCAACAAGCTAAACTGGCTGGGACTCATGTCCCTGCAGGTCCTACCATGTCAGGAAGGTTGTTTGGATAGCGTTCAGACTAAAAGCCGTTACCATGGGGTAAATGGGTTCCAGAATCCAATCGGATCAAATGGCGTATGAACCCATATGGGTTACCGGCAACCATTGGAACGCAGCCCCTGACGCTGCTTCGCTGCCTTGCGGATTAGACTCCAAGTCTAAGGCTTGGCGGGTGGTCCCTTAAGAAAACCACCTGCTTCGGTCTGGGCGCCCGGGCAGTATCTCAGCCCTCACACAACAAATGAAATAAAAAAACAAACTATAATTGAAACTCACCGCGCGCTCGTAAAAATAATTTCAAGAAATAATGATACCTCAAGCAACTTGTGTCCTTCCAACCTTACTTTTATTTTTATATTTAGATTCCTGTATTTTACCTTTGCTCACCTTGACTTCTTAACCTTCGACAGCCTTTCGCCTTTGTCTGGATTCCTAGCCTATCTGTGTCGTTTCGAGATGTTAGTGAGTAACCCTCAAAATGGTTGTCCCCAATGTGACATCTAACACAGATATCCTGAAACCGCGTGCCGCGTTCAAGCTGGCCACCTACAATGTTCTGACGCTAATGCAAATCGGACAACAGGCAGGGTTGGTAAGAACATTGGAAAGCCTCGCTATCGATGTCTGCTGCATTTCGGAGACCCGCATTCAAGATCCCAGTGAAGTGCTTCGATTATCCTCTCCATCTGGAAGTTCTAGTAGTATGTACCACCTGCGCTTGTCCGGGGACCCTGTGATGTCGGCATCCGGCCTAGCTGGTGTCTGTGTCGCACTAAGCGCTAGAGCCGAAGCTGCATTACTCGACGGGATTCCCACTAACAGTCGTTTATGTGCTGTGAGGCTGGAAGGTTTTACGAAAGTAAGGACTAGTAGGCCAGATAGGCGGTGTCTATTTGTTGATTCTGCCTATGCACCAACGGATTGCAGCCAGGATGCAATAAAGGATGAGTTCTACCACCAACTTAGCGATCTCTTGAGACGGCTGGTCGGAGGGATATCGTAGTGCTGGCTGGGGACTTGAATGCACAGGTCGGGCGTCTGAGCTCAGAGGAGAATCGTCTAGGTGGTCAATGGGGCCTACATGGTCGCAGGTCAGATAATGGGGACCGTCTTCTGCAGCTTTGCGCGGATCACAACCTATTTCTAGCCAGCACCAACTTCCGGTACAACCATCGCCGTAGCGCTACCTGGCGTCCTCCCTCTGCGAATCAAGCTTGGACTCAGATCGATCATATTGCTGTCAGTTTCCGGTGGCGAGGATGCATACAAGACTGTCGCTCCTTCTGGAGCACATGCCTGGACTCCGATCATGCGTTAGTGTGTGCCAAGTTCGTCTTGCGATTTGGTGGGGTTCATAAAAGGCGTCATCTAAACGTTGATGTGAGCAAACTAGTAGCACCTGCTACTTCTTTGAAATATCAGAATGAGTTAGTCAATGCTTGTCAGCAACCCCCCTAAGTAGTATAGATAAACATTGGCTTCATCTGCAAGGTGCCATGCAAAGGGCGAGTGTAGCCGCTTGCGGCTTGAAAGAATGTTCCGCCAAAAACCACTGGGTTTCTGCGAGTTCCTTGCAACTCCTGGATGAATGCCGGTCCATTCCGGCTGGAAGCGAATACAGCAATAAGCGAAAGGCGCTGACGCGCAAGATAAGACAGTGTTTACGTAAGGACCGCGAAGTCTGGTGGTCAGAACGTGCGGGTGAGATGGAGTCAGCTGCTGCATCTGGCAACAGTCGGAAGCTGTTCCAACTCATCCGAGCCACCGGCTGCAAGAAACAAGGTGTCAGCGAGACGGTCTGTGAGGCAGAGGGCAAGCCAGTTACCAGCTTGAAAAGACGCCTGGAACGCTGGGCAGAGCACTTCGGGAAACAGTTTAGCTGGCCACCAGCTTCAATGTCTGCTGTCATTAGCCCCAGTGCTCCTTGGTCGGTTAATACCGACCCACTCACCGAAGCGGAGGTCCGTAAGGAACTCCAAGTGTTAAAACTCCATAAGGCACCCGGCCCAGACGGTGGCGAGACTCTCACAATGGCTCTAACTGGGTTGTTCAGGAAGGTATGGGAAACTGAGAGTGTACCATCAATGTGGAACGAAGCCATTATCATCCCCATCTTTAAAAAGGGTCGACGTAATTCGTGTGACAGTCATAGGGGTATCAGTCTGCTACCAGTCGCGTCTAAAATATTGGCTGCTGTCTTGCTTCGCAGGCTGTGCAAAATACGTGAGGGATTGATTCGCGAATAGCAGGCTGGGTTTCGTTCAGGTCGTGGATGCATTGATCATGTGTTCACCCTTCGTCAGTTGTTGGAACACCGCCACACGTATTGCAGGCCAACGATCGTTGTGTTTCTTGATAATTAGGGCTGCCTTCGATTCGTTGGACAGAACTGTGCTCTGGAACTGTCTGTTAGAGAGAGTTGTAGCTGAGAAATTTGTTAACATCTTGAAAGTCCTATGCAGAAACACCTCGGGTGGAGTGAGGGCATACAACCAACTATCATCACTGTTCCCAACCAACAGTGGGGTTAGACAGGGTTGCCCAATCTCTCCATTTCTCTTTAACTTTGCCATCGATGACATTCTGGAGTCAGCCCTGAAGGATGTGCGTGAAGTTGCTACCTGGAGATAGACTTTTCGACCTCGAGTATGCAGACGATATCGTCTTACTGTGCGATAGCATACAGGCTGCCCAAATCGCACTTAATCAGTTGGCGATCAGTGTCTGTAAGTATGGTATGTGCTTTGCACCGTCTAAGTGCAAAGTACTGTTACAAGATTGGCAGGAGCCTGTACCTGCACTCACTCTTGCGGGTGAACCGCTTGAAGTTGTTGATAAGTTTGTGTATCTGGGTAGTTGTGTGAGTGCTGATGGGGAGGGGTGACGGATGAGATTTCCAACCGTATAATGAAGGCTAGGGTGGCATACATCAACTTGAGCCACCTCTGGCGCCGTCGCGACGTTAGCCTGGCTGTCAAAGGTCGGGTACACAATGCTTCGGTGTGGGCTGTCTTGCTCTACGCCTGTGAAACCTGGCCTGTCCGTACTGAGGATGTGCGGCAGCTCTGCGTGTTCGATCATCGCTGTCTCCGCAGGATTGCTTGCGTTCGATGGCATCATCGCGTGAGTAATTCTGAGGTTCGGCGGCGTGTGTTTGAACACAGTGGAGATCACCATTCGTTGAGTGTCGTCATCTGGAAACACTGGCTTCGGTGGCTTGGACATGTGTTGCGAATGTCACCCCAGAGGCTTCCGTACAGGTCTCTGTTCGCTAGCCAGCCCTGGGACGGGATAGAAAAGGCGGAGGGTTGGTCAGTCCATGACGTGGCGTCGTGGAATGAAGGATTTTTGTGCTAGATTAGCATCGATTGGTGCATCACGGCTCCCTGGTTGGGGTCCGCGAGATAGCTCGAATCGATGGTTCGAAACGTTATCGGATATGGCCGAGAATCGTAATCAACGGCGAACGTGTTGCAATTTCCTTCTTTCTTCCCTTCCTGATGATAGTTAACGAATACTGTTTGAACTTGTTAAACATGACTGTTTTCCTTCCAGATGAAGTTCTTTATCCGTTTTCTACTTATATTTTTACTTTTGATCTATGTTGTTTTATTATTATTGTGTGGCGCATCTTTCTTGGTGTCATATTGTACCAAGTTTTTTCTGCGTGTAAATAAGTATATAAATAAGTTGTATGCTCTACATGGGAAAGTCATTCCCCCTCTGGTTTTTTCAAAAACGTGGCTCAACATTTCAATCGACCCGTTGCTAAACTAGTCAACTCCACTATTCAGACTAATTATGTGCTCTCTTTTTCCATCAGCACCCTTCTATAGCTAGATAATATATTAAACAAATTGTTTTGTGTGATTACAGAGTATTTTGTTCTCCAATATAGTGATTTTATTGTACTGTTGACTGTCTGAATTTGTCCAAAAATCGACTTGACTTTGTTAAGGGTATGTTTGTGGGGTGGGGTAGTAGCTGTGTTTTCCATCTATCACTCAACTAATTTTCACCTTAGTGTTTGATCGAAATTGAAAAGAAGCTTAATTGTAACAATCTGGCATCAGACACTCGTGTGGTCTCTTGTTTATGCTGGAAATTGTCTTCTGTCGGTATTACTTCTCCTAATTAATAGTTTACTTCCTTCAGTTATGCATGCACCTCACTAATCCCTCAGAATTATCATGTCTGGTAGTGACGACAGATAGATACTCGCTGATGACACACTGGCTGTTGGTCACGCTATATATCGTGAATTGGCCGAAGTTAAAAGTGATGGACTGTAACCATTGGATTCCGTCCCAGTGGTCAACAAGCTCATCTTGTAACCTTAAGATCCTGGACTTGAATTCTTGTTGTGGTGGGTGTGTACAGCTGCAAAGTTGGCCCGCAACAAGAATGAAACAAGCTGTTCAGTAGTCTACGGCTTTCAAGACTTCTCTAACTGAAGCCAGCCTAGTGATCAATCTTGAAATCAATTAATTTCTTGCAAAAAGAACACTTGAAAATATAATAGGACTATCTAGTGAGAGCAGTGCCTTTTAAAGTTTTTGCCTAGTGAAACTTATCCATCCCTCTGCAATGTTTATTTTTCATCAATATAAAATATGATTATATTTACGGATGAATAAACGGATAAATAAATGAATGAATAAAACTGTTAGGTAAAAATGATCTTCCGGAAGATCATGTGGTATAATGTGGTGGTGCTAGGCATTTTATTACTATTATTATTATTATTGCATCTGTCATTAGCTTTGTATAACTATATTCTTTCTCCTACTATTATCATCATCATTATTATTACTATTACTGTGACTATTTTTATTATTATTGTTATTGTTATTATTATAAATAATGGTTATTCTGATCTTTATTTTTATTATTTTCTATTTCGAAATTGCTGTGTACTATAACTATAAACGCGTAGTAAGTGTCCTTTTTGATGATGCCCATTAGTTTGTATTGATGTCTGTTTTTGAAGAGAGATATTCTAGTCATATTACTTCATAACTATGATACAGTGTGATAATGTTTTCACTAACATGTGTAAAGAGTTTGTGTGTGTGTGTGAATGTGTAGTTTTTTTATTATAGAAAAGTATCTTTTTCTTTGTAAGTATTTTAATTAGCCTAGTCAATTCTAGGGGGGTTATTCATCATAGTAATCCTGAGTAATTCATTTTCATTTAGGTGTAGTATTTGGAGAAGGAATGTAGTTTTGCAGAGTCAATACCTAATCGCTTTTTGTTGTAAGGCGAGCTCGCCTTAGCGCTGGGTTCAAACCCTGGCGGTGGATGTGTACTACTGAAGAGTCCCAAGCCAGGACGAAACAGCTGTGCAGGTTTTCCAATGGTTCTCTCAGCTCATGATGAAATCCTTTAACCAGTTTGAAATTGTGTTTTTTAAAATTCTTTATTATGGTTCTTCAATTTTAGTATTACTTTTTTTCTTGAGTATTAGACAAAAGACCGTGTCCAGTCTGAGTTATTGGCTGGACAGTGGCTCACTGTAGAACCTTACGTTTGGCTTGCATCATTACAAGTTGTCACGGTTGGACAAGGCACATAAGATAAGAGAATAGAAGTGTAATGTTACTTTACAGAGGTAGAGGTGTGTTAGGGAATAATTAAATTGTGAAGCAGTCAAGATATTCTGAATTTCGAAGATAATGAGGAATAGACACAGGGATGATTATAAATAATTTTGAGCCATTCCATGAACAGGCCCTAGCTACCGACTGCTAAAATCCTGACCACTTCAGACACGCAACCTACACCAATACTTATAGACTTCATGAATTATTACTATATCTTGATATGATGCCCTGTTATTTAAAAAAAAGAGTGTAATCCTATCTCAGTGGACATTACTCATTGATGGCTGGGGTGGATGCATTCACCCTTTGTGACTTATAATATCCAGTAGAATTCTATTGTTCTTCCATATTACTATTCTTTTTGGGTCATATTTCTGTTTATTATCTTCCTCTCTTCTGAATCTCTCCTTATTCTCTTCTCGTAGTTTGTGTGCCACAAGCAGGGAGTGTAGCAACTTGAACTGGTGCATATCTGTGCAAAGTTCTACGCTAGAACCAGCCAATAAGTCAGTCAGTCAGTCAGTCAGTCCGTAATCCCGAAGAGTCGGAGACAAGAAACGAAACAGCTACCCAGTACTCTCCTGACTGATTGATTGGTTTCAGCATAGAACGTTGCAGAGTGCACCAGTTCGAGTTGCCAAACTCTACGTAGCACGCAAATGCAGATAAAGAAAAAAAGATTCGAAAGAAAGATAATACGCAGAAACATGGGGGAGAATGAATAGTCACTTGGTTAAGCGAATAGGGTTTAATAGATATGGGAAATCACATAAACTGAGTGCATCTGAGGACGATTTCGAGCCGTATCACCAATTATCTCCAGCCATTGGTTCTTAGAATCCCTGATAAGTGTTGGTGGTTTGGCGGTAGAGTAAATACTTGCTAACCATGCACGTGGTTCGGGGTCCGATCCCCGGCTGGCTCACACCCTCACCTCCTTTAGCGGTTTGTAAACCCGACAAAAAAGGGAGGCTGGATGTAAAGCTAGCAACCAGACCCCCTACAAAAGAACATAACTGCCACTGAGAATTCCACTCAGAACTCAAAGGAATAAAATTAAAAAAAATAATGTGCTACATGTGGTGTGGGGCAACTTGAACACTGGTGCACTTCTGTGGAAAGTTCTGTATTGAAACTTGGTCAGTTAGTAAGGTGTTGCATTTATAATCGGCAGGTATGCAACTCATATCAAGCAGTAAAGTACCTCTTGAAAAATTATTACTTATTAGTTCAGTAAGGCATCCAAATTTTTTTTTATTCCTTTACGTTCGCAGTGGAACATACGACTTCAAGGTGGAAGCTTGAAGTTTCGGTAGCAGTGTTGCTTACTTTTACAGGATGGGGCTGCTAGCCTTATGCCCAACCTTCCCCCTGCACCACTCGTATTACTGGCTTAGCTGAAGTAAAGGAGTGCGTTGGCCGGAGATCGAACCCCGGACCACATTTGTGCTTGGCGAGCATTCTATTTCTGTGCCATCGACTCACAATGCAATGTTTAGATCCCATGAAATCTGGAAATGATAGTTTTCACTGTATGATTGAGTAACTAAAACTTTCGAAACATTCTCTGCACAGTTCACTCTCCATATTTGTAAGGTTCGATTCACCTGCTTAATATGATTTCATCGGAAGGCTTGACTTCCTTTGCATCAAGATTGAAAAGAAAGTCTTACTAGAGAGGCATCTTAATTAATGTCTCAACATTATCTATTTAGGTCGCTTTATATCTTTAATCTTTAATACACGATACTCTGTAAACTGTTTTCACCACAATAGCAGTAACTGCTATATTTTATTTTTATTTTTCCTCTACTAAACGTTTTCTGTGGTAGCTTGATTAGGTTGACAGACTTTGATCTATCACTTTCGCATTAGTTGTGGCTAAAGATGGCCTCTTCATTTACGCTTTAGTTCAAATAAAAATGAGTGGAATTTTTCTACTTGTTGTTGAGTGTTGAGGTTAAGTGTTCCTCCTACTTGTTCATGCGATTTTTTGTATTAGCTAGGAACAACCACCCAACAATTCCATGGTTATGAGATTTTATAGACATACAGAGAGACAGGACTAAGGCTTTGCGATAGACGCCACAAGAACCCGTCTAACGATGGTGTACTTCGCTAGTGTATATGAGAAACAAAGTGACCCAGTAGTTGCACGGGATATTCAATGTTCTTTAACCTAGATTAATGGAAACATTCAAGGTGTTGCCCTGAATGTAATTATCATCGATTAGTGAACCAATTTCGGTAAGAGAAACAGGACATGGAAATCGGATATTTCAACCAACAGTCAAGACGGTATTGGTTAATTTTCCAGTTTGTTCAGCATTTGATAATGTTTGCGCATGAAGTATCCATCATTTTCTGAGTTAGGTCACTATTTCAAGCCTTAGATGTATGAATGTTCACAGTCGTAACTCCATGGCATTTCGCATTCTATCTATATTTATCGTATTATCAGTAAGATTTTTTAAGTTATCCTTTTAAGATAGTTTGGAATTGAGTTGTTCTTTAAGGTGAGGATTTATCCCTTTTAATTCATGAAAGATCCCCATCCGAACATTAATAGAGAGAGAAGACCAGTAGTTCAGCGAATTTCGGCGAATTCATTTCCACAGCTGTACACTCACAAATTTATGTGATTAATTTTTGTGTATGTGTGTACATTAACTTTGTCAAAGGAAAATACAATTAGTAAGTTTTTGGTAGGGTTACGTAATACAAAAGTATTCAGAGGAATTGGATATTGATATAAGAGGGTAGTAACAAAAGTGATGAGTTGTCACAAACGATTGTTAAAGGAGAGTTATGTAGTAACATGAATAGTTTGATGAAAGAGTTGTGCTCAGGGTGTACATGGAAACAAAATAAAATTTAGAATTACGTAAGAGTTTTAAAGGTAGAGTTTTAAGAAGTTAGAAAAACAAGCAAAAGTCAAGTCAGATAAATAGAGTTGTTACGATGGTAGTAGAAGTGACTGGATAATTTTCTTTTGTATGCATAGTTCCGGTTCTTCTAACTTAATGGCTAGGGTTTCTGCAATGCAAGGAAGACGGAAAGGTGTTGACTTTAGCAGGTTATTCTTCACTTTGTAGACTACTTTGAAGGAGGCATTTACTGAGATGGAATGACCAGTGGTATCGAGATGTTCCATTATTGTACTCCTTATACGGCCACTACTTCCTTTCTGCAGCCACTCTAGATAGTGTTCTTCGACCCTTCTTGACAGGATGCGCGTCAAACGACTGATGTACCTGGCTCCACAGCAACAGATGAACTGGTATGTACACATAGAAGTGGTCAGGTGCGAGATGTTGTTCTTTGGTGTCGCTTTTGGGTCTGCAGGATAGTTATAATTTCTAGAATGCATAGATAGGTATTAAATGACTAAAAAATCAGACAGTTTCTATTCAGTCTACCTTCAGTCTTTCAGTTTTTTTTTAGCGTGAAATTTTCTGGTCTTGCGGTGATCCTTTTGGTTCTGAGTAAAATAGGGCTTTAGTAGCACATGATTCACTTCTCTCTGTTCTCTACAGGCTCCACGATTGCCTATAGGCGTACACTTTCTTCCCACACCCAAGTCGTCGTTCCCCATTCGGGTGGTCACTCAATCGTCTCAGCATATGTCCAATCCATCTTCATTTCCTTATGCTTATCTGTTAGGCGATAGGTTTCTTAGCAGTTGTTGTAGTCCATGTCTGGTCTTAGTTAAAGTCTCTTAATCACTAATAATACCCTTCTTATGGAATATTTCATATCATTGTGTCTATTTATCTCATGTAGCAACAGTATTAAGGTATCTGTGTCCTTTAGTTTTATTGAAGATTACGGAATATACACATTAGATCATGGGAAATATAAAAAAAACGGTTGCAGCGAAGGCGATTTCCTTCTCGACGAAGTCATCATCATCTAGGCTGTGTACATTCTTGTATTTGTAGTAAATTGTGTGAGAAGGTCCCAGATCTATTTCCGGTCAAGAGTGACATTAAAAGAATTGCAGATAGGAATTAAAATGTAATAATAAACACGAAGATCGGATAAATAACAGTATGACCATAATTAATGAGAAAATTGATTTTTTTTTGTACAAAGAGGGCTTCAAAATGTGGCATTAACAAACTAGACAGAAAGTTCGGATAAAAAGAACATAGCATTGCAAATAGGGATTAAAATACGTAAAGATTACCAGGAATAAACAAAAAGTTTGGATAAGAAAGATAGTGGGAAAGGTAATGACTATTGAGAAAATAGGCTGTTTATTATGGTCATGGTATGGTAGTTACAAAGGTTGGATGCATTTCTTTTGGATACATAACTTGGGCTTGAATTTCTGGATCGTTTTTACCTCAGCTCTGCTCAGATGCCTTGGTTTCATTATCTTTGATAGGCTTGATCGGAACTTTGAAGGACCTTCAGATGGAGGTGAATGCCTTTATTTCACCAGATGTTCTGTTACCGAGCTGTAGACACAACTACGTTCTCCCCTTGCTAGCCAGGCTGGATAGTGTTCCCTAGCACGTTTTACAAGCTGACACATGGTACGATCAATGTAATCAGCTCTCCACATAAGCTTCAAGTGAACTGGTATACGCATGTTGATGTGTCCCGATGCGACAGTTTGTCTTTCACGTGCTGGCTGGTTGAATAATTTCTTTCAAGAAAATATCACTTGTAGGCTGGCGGTGAAGTATGTTTTACTGCAAGATTTCGGAAGTCGTTTACGGAGAGTTTCCGCTTCAGGACCACTTTTAAATTGGAGATTAAGCAGCAGCGTCTTTCTTTTCGGGGGTGGGAGTGTGTGTGTGTGTGACTCGGATCTGTTCAGCAGCTTTCTTTGGTTTTAGATTCTTGTCTATGAATCTGAGTGGGAAACCAGAGGAAAGAGAATATACGACATATATATATATATATATGTATATGTTCATGATATTTGTTTTAATTATTCATCCATATTCATGACTCTCTCCTCTGCCTTGGCAACGCCCATCTTGGTGTAGTAATGCATTGTGTAATTTATTACTATTCTTTGTCTTTTACCGTGTATAAATGCAAATTTTTTATCAGTTGCTCAAGTTTAAAGAAAAAATTTGATTAAGTAAGACTGAACAGTTTGATACAAAAGTAGCGTGGGTGCGCGCGTGCCTTAAATGTAACGCTTTATTTATTAGCTAGTCTTTTTGTTTCGAAAAATGTTCCAGTGATTTCCCACTGTTTTGTTCTAAAATAAGATGCGTCTATTTCTGTAATTTTTGATTGTCATCTAGTTCAATATACA